CTTCTCTTCTCTTCTCTTCTCTTCTCTTCTCTTCTCTTCTCTTCTCTTCTCTTCTCTTCTCTTCTCTTCGCTTCTCTTCTCTCCTCTCCTCTCCTCTCCTCTCCTCTCCCCGAATGTCAATATAGTTACACATATAACTTTTGTGTAACTATTTCCATTAGATATATAAATACAGTAACTGTAGGCAAAAATTACCATAGTGGTCCATTTTGTGTGCAATTATCTGATTTTCATACTTAATTGTACACCAAATCAGGCTGCAATTGCCTGTTCATCTAGCTGTCCATGAAATATTAAAAAATTAAAAATAAATGTTAATAAACTTTGCTTGTGATTTGTGGGCATACAACTGTACATAAGAAAATTGCTTTGCCCAGTCCTATATAAAAGATATATTAGAAGTCACTAGAGCACAAAAAGCTTGTTTCAGGTAGTTGATAAAACATTGCAGCAATATAGTATTGTGACAGTATATATATTTTAATCTGAATTTCTGGTCTGTATAATAAAGAAAGCCCACATGGTAGTCTGAATAATGCACAATGATCTAAATACTTACCAGTCATCAAGCCATGTCTGCCCGTGGAAGCTTCTCACTTTCCACCTGGATGTTCTCCAGCCTCTGCGTTGCAGTTTAGCAGGAAACACATTCCAGTCTCTCAGATCTTGTGTGGTGTTGCAGACACCCCATGAGTTTGACTGCAACATTGATTTACCTGAATGTATTGATCTGTCTCTTCTCTTTCCCAAGTTCATCTGAGTCATCTTAGATTGCAAGAGATGAAAATGACAGCAATGCTGTTAAAACCACAAACCCAAGATTTGAGTTCTGGGTTACAGAATTAGAAACATCATTACCAAAAAATAGATCTTCCCTTTTTCTCCTTTCTAGTTTTTACTGTGCAACATGGATATTCTTATCCTAGCTAGCTTTTGAGTAAGAGTCCAAGGCCTCATTTCTCTGAATCTCTGACTCTTTCTGTCTTTCAAAAAACAATTGTTTTTTTCTGTTTTCAGTTCTCTATCCCCTGAACTTTCTTCAGCTTCATGAGAAATAGAACTATGGGTTCAGATTTATCACTTTTTGTTCCTTTAGAATGATATCTCTACCCTTCTTTAGTATCTTTCCTGAATATACATTAAATTATTTATAATAATAATATAAAATAAATAAAATAAGCACATTAGCTTCTTGGTTTTGTACTTTTACATTAGTAAACTGTCACAACATTTTATAAATAATTTATCAGAAGAGGCATTCAATGTACATACTTCTGCAATTTATAGAGTCTAGTGTATTTTAAAGCTTTGTAAACTCTACATGTGATATATTAATAATATAGATGACATATGGAATTCAGAGAGCTCAATAAACTATTTCTTTCCTCTTTGCCTGAAGTTATTTGTCTCTTTGGTACCGCAAGTATACAGACATGACTGGAAGAAAACAATTTAAAAATATGATCCTTATTCTCAATACTTATTATTAAGTTTATTGAGTAATGTTTTTGGAAACACTTGGAGGTGGGGTCATTGTTTTATAAAGCAAAAACCTGTTCAGTCCACAGCATACACATACTCACATGCCTTAGAACACATACATAATTCTCCCTGGAGTCTTGAGAAGACCAACAGCTTAAGTGATTTGCTAAGTCTTTCTACAGGTGCTGTTTTGTCTTCCAAGTTTTTATTGTTGTCTGGATAGTAACTTTGTATAGTGATACGTGAAACTAACCTTGTGCCTGATACATTTGCATTGCATAGTTTTTCTCTGTAATTCTATTTCTCTAATAACAAACAGCTATGGTACAAAACCAGCAAAAGCAAGAAGAGAGACTTCACTGTCAGAGTATTTTTAAGAGAAGGACTCAATCATAATTTCAGGAACAGCTGAATCAAGGAAGGTTACAGATTTTGGCATATCATGAGCTACAAGGTTTTGAGGGACATGTTGTTAAAATGGATTGGGAGCAATGTAGACACGTAGGGAGCTCATCTGCTTGAAAGCCACAAGCTTTACAAGACAAGTATTAATGTGTTATTATTAAAATTTCAGTGGAGTAATTTTGAAGCATTTAACATACATTACCATACATTATATTACAAACCCTGCCTCTAGTGATCTCATGGAGGCATTTATAGTTACTGAGCATTTCTATTGTGGATTAAACATGAATTTCTGAAGCTTTTGGGTTTTTTTTAACAGAACAATGAAAATGAAACAGCACTGCATTGTGCAGCTCAGTACGGTCATTCAGAAGTTGTTGCTGTTCTGCTAGAAGAGCTGACAGACCCCACAATAAGAAACAACAAACTGGAAACACCTCTGGATCTGGCAGCACTTTATGGACGTCTGCGTGTTGTAAAAATGATCATCAAAGCATATCCAAACCTGATGAACTGTAATACAAGAAAACACACCCCTTTGCATCTTGCTGCTCGTAATGGCCACAAAGCTGTCGTACAGGTGCTTCTGGAGGCTGGAATGGATGTCAGCTGCCAAGTTAGTGTGTAATTCCTTCCTTCCTTCCTTCCTTCCTTCCTTCCTTCCTTCCTTCCTTCCTTCCTTCCTTCCTTCC